TTATTCCTATTGCTTTGAATAATCAATTAATCCTAGCTATATATTTAAATAAGGCTTTTTTCTACTTTCCTTCTTAGTCTGCTGCTTCTGTCAATGAACCTATGAACCATTTGGTCGATTCGATCAATAGTGGGCAGCTAAACCAACAAAGTACTGTAACAAATGATCAAGAAAGAGCCGCATTGTCCCAGCCTTTGCAATCTTCGCTTTTAAATACATGGCTTTGTACACACACTTCAGAAGCTTCTGACTACCTTCATGGACAGTCTGAGTCTTCATTAATTACCTCGCTGCCCACTGATGATTGGTCTATGCATCTTACTTCCAGTAACACTAGCGCTCCACTATTTGGCTTCACTGCAACTTTTCAGCAGCCTCACCCAACAAATATAAGCAGTCACGTTGCACAGACGCTTCCCTTATCTATGCAAGAAAGGCATCCTGACAAACAAGCAGATTCTAACTTTGGTCAGATTTCTGGCATGGCATCCACGGAAATTAATTTGACATGTGTTGCCTCATCTGCTGGTCTGTCCTCTACTGAGACTAATGTTCCTGAAAGCACATCATACATGCACCCCAAACAAATGGATATACTAGCGTCGAATATACTTAATCCGAATAGTAGTGTATCAGGATACCAGGCAGCCAGTTCTACTGATTTAATCCATCCGTCGTATGCTGGGGTGACCCGTTCTCCACTTCAGGCTCAGCTATTGGAAAATCTGATAGCCGCGGCCGGTCAGCAAAGTTGTCGCGTATTTTCTTCTACCTCACCACCTGATGCTAATTTCGCTCAGGCATCCAGGCCAATTGCTGTCCCACTTGAAAAGACACTGGATCCTTCAATTACATCACTGACATCGGACGCCACCTTCATGGATGCCCGTTCTCATCTCTCATCAATGTCTAGCGTACAACCGAAAGCTTCTTCAAATTTAGATAATGAAATCTTTGCTTCTCTGTCTGGTGATTTAGCTAAATTATCGGAAAGATTACCCCCTATACAGCCAGCATCCCGGTTTCGCAAGTCTAGAATACGAGAAACTGTCGAACAATGGTCATCTAACCGCATATCTATTCATGATTGTCGCTTAAAAGCCGTGCCTTCTTGGGTATCGGATTTGCAACGCAAGACTTCGTCACTTGACAATCAAGTTATGGATGTGCTCAAACAGGGAAATATATGTGTTAATTGTTTAGATTCTAATAAACTCGGTAAGTTCTTTTGTCTTTTCATGACTGGCCTATTTTGTATTAGATGTCGGCTTAGACATGTGGAGTATTCCGCACTAAGAGTTTTTTTTAATTTCAGCATACATTGATTATTGATCCTAAAATTAATTATATGATAACTTACTCAACGATTACTATTTGTACTTAATTACTTTATTAAACATTGCTGATATCATTTACTACATATGCCAGCTTGACTCGCTATTGTATGCTTTTAAAAAAGCAGATTTTGCATTAATTTATACACGACTTGTTATGAAATCAAGTATTGAATTTTTCGTCATCATTAAGAATATGTGAGAGCCTGGTTGTGTCTAAAAAGATTATGCAGTTTAGCAAAACTCTTGATCGATATCTGCAAATCTCTTTCCTTTTTTCGTTGTGTGCTCAAGACTATCGTTTCCAGGTTTCTCCCTACTTAGGCGGACTTAATGCAGTAAGGCTATCATTCGTCTTAATTGAATGACATTTTTTTATCCTTTAGAAACAGGAACATATGCGTGCTTCTTCACTTTAATTTTTTTCACTTATAGTCACCTTGTTTGCTGCGGCTAATCATGTATCCTCATTTCTTAAATCCGATAATTTGTAATATCATCCCGGAAGTATTTATGAAAATAGTTTTGCTCCCACAATCTCTTCATACTTACGAAAAAGTTGTCTTCACAAATAGTCTCCATTGGTATTGCTATCTACGCTACCATTTCATTAATGCTATAACAAAAATCGCCAGCTAACGCCCATATAATCAGAGTTCACTCCATTTGCATGTGGTCTGTGTATATGGTGATTATCCGCTTAAGTTTCAGATATTTTGTCAGAAAAGTTTATTTTGTAAAAATATTAACTTCAGTATATAGGAACTATTTTTGAATTCTATCAGGTTCCGTGATTTACTTATCTTTAAATATATACTGCTCTGCTTTTACATCCTATTCCTTTGCTTAGAGTTAAATTGTTTCAACGTCACTTGTATTCGGCCACTACCTAGACTGTGCATGCTACGTGGTGATAACCGGCCTGGATGCCAGAGTAGGCTTCCGGCGCTTCTCGTCTCCGAGGCTACCAACGCTGTGGTTCAAATGGCCGAGAAAGCACGAGCCTTGGTTGCTTGTCGCAAGAAAACTGATGTATTGCTCTCTAATCTATATTCTTTTTGGCTAGATGGCTACCGTGTTGACCAACCGTTGGTTGATACCAACCTCTTTGATAACTGTCTGTTGAATGAGGCGCAACTATCAACCGGCGGACCAGCAGATGGGGTCGACTACAAGAATCGATATACAACCGTATCAAGACCATCAGCAGACCTGCAGGAAATCCCTACTAATCAACATCCGCGTCATTACCAACATCGTCACCAAGAGGAGAATCGGCATCGACATCATCGCTGCCGACAATCTATTGGTTTAGCCAAATCCCAAGCATGTGCATCATCATCTTTATTTAAAACGCAGTCGAAACCGCCTCCGTTATCTGCAGACGTTATTCAGCCATGTCATCCTGAGCCACCCTCTACATGCTATCTTCTGGCTTCAACGAACACTGCCCCACTGACATCTAACGAAAACGAAATCGATTCGTGTCGACTTGACTCCACCGATGCTGCCAGCCTCCAGATACAACAGAATCAGCAGCAGCAAGCTTCACTTGACAGACACGTATATCCCCCGAGTTTGCTCACTCAGACAAATTTTGAGATATTGGCCTCAACCACAGGACTCGACCTTAACTTGCCTTACCGGCCTGCTTCATGTATAGACATCACACAGCGCCTCTCCGATTGCAGTCTAAACAGGTCTGAGTTGTCTTCAGTGCCCACTATGTCTCTGGCTCCCATTTGCCAACCCCAGCATCCCAAAGATACTAGCAACATAGGTCAGTTAACCACTGGCGCCTCTACTTCTGTATTTCGTGAAGCTGTGGACCCAGCTACTGCCTATCTACGTCTGCATCACGAAGATTTATTTATCAAAGCTTCTACAGCGCCAATCCAAGTAGCATCGGCTCAGGTTCCCCATGCCCAGGAACCACTAGATCTCTCTTGGCAGACTGAATCATCTGGGCCTGGGGACCTCCGTCTCACATATCAATCTGGAGTTACCGCTCAGACGTGTCTCCTGAGTTCCCATTTGTCTACCGGCACTGGTGGTCCCTTGCCTTCAATCGAGGAGATTAACCATGAGCAGAATCATCCCGAAAGTCTTCTTCCAGTTGTGAGCCCCCTTGTCAACGCATTGGCACCACCCACCAGTCCTGCCCTGGCAAGTCTAGGTCAGCCGATTAGTTCGCTCGAAGTAGTGCAGCCGCATCAATCGGCCCTTTTGCAACAGTTACCCTTGCCACTGTCACTACCGCTGCTTGGTGAAGGTGATACGCCTAGTGCTTGTTTACCGACAAGCTTGACTTCTGCTAACTCCACAATCTCATTATTGTCTATTTCGTCCGCTACCACTACTACAACCTCGTATGCCTCCGGTTCCTCATCCTCGGGGGCCGATTCGATCTCAATCTCCGTGTCTCAGGCCGCAAGGCCTACAGAAGCATTGTCCAGCGATCAGTCTAAAACTTTGTCCTCTGATCCTAGAGATCTTCAATCAGTGATTTTGGGTGTTGCCGAAGATAAAGCTTTGGATGATAAACAGCTGAAAGCCATTATCCAGCATCACCGGAATTACCAACTTAGAATATTTCAGCAACAACAACCTCTCCTAGCTGCTCAAGCCCAACTGCCTCGGATCGATCATTTCAATAACGACTGGCAGTTATCGGAGATCACGCAAGACTGTCTCCCTGGTAGACGTAGCTCAGCCGATCTCCCTGTAGCAGAAGACTCTGCTGACCAGTCCCTTATTTACAGTTTGTCGGAAGACAAGAAGTTGCCACCAAGAGGAAACGTATCACAGGCTTGGAATGGAAAATTGGCCCATGATATAGTGTTGGAAAAGAAATCGCGTTCGACCCGTCCCTTGACGAAACTATTATCTCGACCTCGTACTCATCATCATCACTATCATGTTCGCGAGCACCATCCTCATCACTACCATACTCATCATAGGCACCATCACCCACGTCCCTGTTCTCCACCTCCGTCTCCCGACTCGGGGCCTCCAGCCCTGGAGGGCAGTCGCCTCGAGCCCGATAAAAACGATAATGAAACGGCCCATGTTCTTCATCAACTCGACTTTTCAAAAGAGGAACCCAATCACTTTGTCAGCGTTCATTCTATGGAGTCGTCGATAATATCAGGGTAAGGTTCCTAAATTTTCATAAAAAGGATGCGTTTGAAGTTTGTAACAGTTTTCAATGCTTATAAGCTTGCTTTAGGAATCTAAGATTCAAGCTACAAAATGTTGTTCATTATATTTATTAGAATTTCTGGCTAGGATTTAATTTAATCTGAAGCTGAATAGGGAGACGAGATCGGATAATGTTATTTTCAATCCATTTTCAAATGTAGATTATGGCATATT